GGAAAACAGTTTGGCGATTCCTCAGGAAAATGAGAATCGGTTTACAAGATCCAGCAATTCCACTCAGGCATATACCCAAAAGATGCACATTCATACAGCAAGGACATCTGTTCAACCATGTTCATAGCAGCATTATTTGTAATAGCCAGAACCTGAAAGCAACCTAGATGGACCTCAACTGAAGAATGGATGGAGGAAGTGTGGTACATTTACACAATGGAGTACTACTCAGCGAAAAAAAAATGGAATCTTGAAATTCGCAGGCAAATGGATGGAACTCGAAGAAACCATCCTAAGTGAGGTAACCCAGTCACAAAAAGACAAACATGGTATGTACTCACTCACATATGAATTTTAGACCTAGAGCAAAGGAGAAGCAGCTTACAATACACACTTCCAGAGAAGATAGGAAACAAGGAGGACCCTAAGAACGACATACATGGTCTCCCAGAGAAAGGGAAAGGGAAGATCTCCTGAGCTAATTGGGAGTATGGGGGAGGGGACAGGGAGTTAGAAAAAGGAGAAGGGGAGAAGCAGAGGGGAGAGGAGGACAGAAGAGAGCAGGAAGATCGAGTCAGGGGAATAATAGAGGAGAGCAAAATAAGAGATATCATAATAGAGGGAGCCATTATAGGTTTAAAGAGAAATCTAGCACTAGGAAAATTGCCAGAGATCTACAAGGATGACTCCAACTAACAATCAAAGCAATAGTGGAGAGTCTACCTTAAAAACCCTTCTCCGATAATGTCATCCTAGAGCCTTCATCCAGTAGCTGATGGAAGCAGAAGCAGACATACACAGCTAAACACTGAACTGATCTCTGGAATCCAGTTGCAGAGATGGAGGAGTGATGAGCAAAAGGGTCAAGACCAGGCTGGAGACAGCCGCAGAAACAACTGACCTGAGCAAAGTGGTTGCTCATAGACTCTAGACTGATAGCTGGGAAACCAGCAAAGGACTGTTCAAGAGCCCCTGAACATGGGTGTCAATGAGGAGGCCTCTGCAAACTACTGGGCCTCTGGTAGTGGATCAGCATTTATCACTACTACACGAATGGATTTTGGATCCCACTCCACATAGAGGGATACTCTCTCAGCCTAGACACATGGGTGCGGGTCTTGACCCTGAACCAAAGGATATGACAGACATTGAAGATCCCCCATGGAAGGCCTCACCCTCCCTGGGGAGCAGAAAGGGGATGGGATAGGGGGTCGGTGGGTGGCAAAGGAGGAAGGGAGGGAGAGGGAACTGGGATTAACATGTAAAGCAAGCTTGTTACTAATTTAAATAGAAAAAGGAAAAAATGAATGCATAACATATTCAAACTTATGGGAGACATAAGGAAGGATAGGTCATTGCTCTTCCATATTCTTTGGAAAGTGAAGTGATTAGTTAGGCATTTTAGAGTAGCATTTGAGTCTTGACTAATGGGAATGAACTTGAACTAGGCATTTTTGTCAAATGAAAAGAAACGTGATTCATGATGAGTGAAAACACTAATTAACTATGCTAGAACTCAACTTAAGTTTGAAAAAGGGCACAGATATAAGTAATTTTCTTATAACCTACCTTTCTAATGCAGAAGACCCAAGCCATTACATGAGACAGCTAGGACCAAATTATTTTTGAAAATTGTGCGTGCTGACTAATAGATCTAAGAAACTGATTGTGTAATTAGGGATGCTGGTAGTCATACTAGAGTCCAAAAGGTCACTCTATAGCTCTCGTCATCCTGTGATTCATCAACTTATGCTTACACTTGCACTTTTCAATCTTTACAGATTGGAATAGCTTTAATCTAACTGGAGAAACATTCTTTTCCATTAGAATAAATCATTGTGTCTGTATTTTACCCTTGAGATAGACAAGGGTATCCTGTCTCTTTAAGAACTCACTAAGCCCCAGTATTCCTAAGTGGTCTGAGGAACAGTTGAAGATTGGCATTATAATGCCCCAAATCTCTCTCTCTCTCCCTGAAACAATAAAAACCTTTCTGCAACCATAGATATGCTTATGGGAGGCTGGACTTGTCTATCTATCTTCCAGGTAGGTATGTAAGGCAAGTTCTATCAATGATGCATAATCAGAGAAATGCTTCAACTAGGTCTAATAAAGTAACTTCTGCCCATATCGAGGGGAGGATTTGGAGCAGGTCCAAGAAATGAAATGAGCCAACTCACTTTTCACTGCCCATGGGTAGAAGTAGATTCCATATAGAGGAAATAGTTGAGAGCCTTACTCTACCTGAATGCCACACTGTACCTCAGGCACTTGGAACTGGTGCTGATGAAAAGCTCATTTATTCGTTGGAGTACAAAATGCAGGGACAATTCCTTATATTAGAGTATTCTTGAAAATTCTTTCTGAAAACGTTTGAATGGTGAGCTGGAGAAAGAAATTTTATCAGCTCTGAAACCACAAGACCAAAGACCAGTCTTTAGCCTGTCAAATATTAGGAGAAATAAACCAAGGGTACTGAAATCGTTGAGCATAGTGATGAAGGAGATTAGTGGGAGATGAGACCAAATAGGTATGACAAGTTGGTGGCAGTCAGATGGAGTAGAGTGGAATATAAACTATTAAAAACCATAATTAATATATTTGGTTTTTACTGAGAATTAGACAATCCATACAATGGTTTAAAAATACTTGGATTTATTAATATTTTAAAGGGTCATTCACTCTGGTTGCTAAGTGGAGAATTGACTAGATTGGGGGAACACATTGCTACCAGAACAATTGAAGTAAAGGTGCTGAGTTACAGAATTTAGGATGTATTTAAGAGATAGAATTATATATGATCTTTACAAAAAGTAGAAACAAGGATTATTCCAATATTTTTTGTCTCACAGGTTGTTAGGATGAATATATTAATCTAACTGATTAAAATATATGAAAGAATTCCTGTCAAGTGTTCTTAGTGAATACCAATAATTATTCTACTACCGTACAAGATATGGGAAGAGACAGAGTTGCTCAGAGACATTTTCCAAATAATTCAGCAATAACTTATGCACTATGAAGTTTTTCTGCAACTTTTCTCTCAGGTTTCTTCCAGACATAATCATGAAGTACTAGAATTTACTTCAACTGTAAAATGTAAACAGTAAACCCTATTTCAAAGACAATTGTTAGCGACAAAAGAACACAATTTGCACCATTACAGATTGCATTAGTTTAAATCTGGAATGTCTTGCAAGACGCCATTTGTCCATGGCTTGTACAGTAGCACATTGTACTTCTAGAAAAATGCTAGAGCATTTAAGAGGTGAGGTCTAGTGAGAGATACTTTGGTAACTAGGGGGTCTGTGTATGAAGGAGATGGTGAGACCCAGACCATTTGATACTTCTCTCTTTTTGATTCTGGTCATCATAGAAAGGACTTTGTGTTACTGGCATAAGATAAATCACCACAGATCAGAAAAAAACAGGGGCAACCAACTGTGGACTAAAACCTCTAAAACTGTGAGCCCAAACAAGCCTGTTTTTCTTCAAAAACTGATGGTTATTGTTATGAAATGCTGGGTAATGTAGAGCTGAGCAGCTAATGTTGCTTCTCTCCACAATCTAGACCCTTGATATCTAATTATTGTCTGTGACTCAGAAGCAACTGTATCAAACGGGGATCCTGTTAGAAAGTCAGGCTCAGCCTTACACCAGTAATGCTAACTCAAAATCTATGTGTTATCAGACACTGCATGTGTACACAAGCATGTAAGAGGAACCAGTTTAGAATTTCAAGGTCATCAAGGTAAGAATATGTTCAAGTTTGAAATGTCAAAAGCAAGACTGGGAAAGATTATCTGATTTTTGGTCAGGGCCCTAATTCCCAAACCAGCATGCTTTTAATTACAATGGTGTCTCCAAACACTAGCTCAGACACTGTCATTTGAAGAAGATGGAGAAAATCAAGGGGCCTCTTTTTTAGGAAACGTTGCCCTCTCTGGAAGAAAAGGCAGATTATTGCTTTATTGGTCCCTCCTCTTTACTCCAGAAAAAATTAGCTATGCCAGAGAATGATATTCCTTTTAATCTCAGAGGTGATGTCAGATGGTCCCAAAGTATATTTATCCATCCATCTATCTATCTATTTATTTATCTATCTATACCCAATGTATACTTGTGTCGAATACATTCTAGTCATTATTTTAATCCAATTTTGTTCTTTTCCTCCAAAGGATTTTAGACTCCTGAGACTTGATTCTGAATTCCTATTCATGGCCTCTGCCCAGGTCAGGTGAGGTGTCTCAGTTTGGTCGAGGCACATTCCCTCCTCTATACCTTGGTTCAAGCCTCCACTTCTTCCTCTCTCTCTAATGCATTCCAGTACATCTCCTGCAGTATCCTGTGGAGTCACAAGAAGACTCTTGGAAAGCACCATTTTTGGAAGGTCCCTTAGAGGTATTATGCATATGATATGAGTGTGTGTGTGTGTGTGTGTGTGTGTGTGTGTGTGTACACCATATATGTCTGTACAGTGAGAGACCAAGAAAGCCATCAGAGGTAACAGGATGGCTTAAAGTCAGAGTGAAGTGTAGAATTCAGTTTTTCTTCATTTTTAGTGGTCTTTCCCCAGCTTCATGTTTCCTGATAAAAAATCTTAATTTTCTGAAAGGCACTAATATAAAACTGCAAAGTTAGAGCTGGGAAGTGGCTTTTCCTTGTGCCTGAGAATTCTAAATTTCCCGAGATTTGATTTTTTTCTGGAACTCCAAGCCTGCTAAGTCACGCACAGAACTTTGAAAAACTGAGCTGCATTTAGCTGCCTCCTCTCTTCCTCCCCACGGATTCAGCTAGATCCAACTCTAGGCCCTTCCCCCTCTTGCCCCAGCTTCAGTTCCTGGAGCTTTAATAACTCTTGCCATACTTGTGGCTTGGCTATTGTTTACCCGCCAGACTCACAGTGTCCTCGCAGGGGCGGGGTTTATTTGCATAACCACTCCCAAACACATCGAATAGTCCAATAGTCGTCCCGCATGCCTCACAGAGGCAAGGAGGGGGACAGGCATAACATGAAAGAAATAGAGGATGGATTTGATCTGTTGTTGCCACACGTGAAAGTGAAATGAGTCCAGCAGAACACTGGTTGCAACGGATTTCGCCTATTCTGAGAGCGGTATGCAGGCTGGGGGCGGAGGGGCGGCTACTGGGCAGAGTGTCCCTTCTGTACTCTAATGTGTTTGTTCAGGGAATCCAGTTGTATGATCCATCCATTGATCTTGGCAGGGTAAGTGTGGGAACCTTCCTTCATGTGGTAAATCAGTTGGAACCTGTAGCACATAGGTACGAAATAGAAGACCACATTAGATACCGCTGTAAGGGTGGTACAAAGTCAGCATGACTTGGGGGACAGTATTCTGTGGCCATCAGTAATTTCATCTTTGTGCCCTGACAGCACTCTCTGAGATGCCAGAAACTTAGGCTGTTATCCCTGCAGCCTTGACTAGTCAGTTCCTGCCTGTGCAGGTTCGAACTGGAGCCAGATGGCCGCTGGGAATATGCCCGGACTTGTCCAACAAGCTTGTGCATCTGGGATCCAGAGATAAGGAAGGGAGAGGAGGAGGGAATGGATTGGACATTTAGAGCATCCTGCAGAAAGCTGAACTACTAGCCCACCCACGTGGTGCTCGGGCAAGTCCGGGCCTGTGTAAAGAGCAATTTGGCACTGTGTATGGGGGCTTTCAGTCCAGCCTTGTCACCAGTGACTGAGTTTCATTTGATCACTTGCTGCTGGAAGCTGAGCCCAGGACAGTGATATTTTGATCGGGCCTCACCCCAAACACTGGCCAAGGCCCAGACAGCTGCAAGAACTGGCTGGGTGCAGGGAAAAGAAGAGACCTGCCAGAGACTAGACTGGGAAAACAGGCTGTGGGATCTCATTTGGACAGCTTTTGGCAGCTTTGGCCAATGTCCTGTAGGACAATGGGAGGTAGTAAATTGTGGAACTCTGTGTCTAGGTAACTCTCCTGTCCCCTATATCCTGTCACACATTTAAACCAACATAAGATGCATACTGAATATTTACTCTCTATCACCAAGTTTGAAGTACTAAGCTGTCTGTGATATAGAGGCTAAATCTGCTAGGTCTTAACAGACTCATCCTGAGTGTAGGAACACCAATAATATTGCACAAGGTGAACTTTAAAAGTTCAGTCAAAATGCTCTGAAGTTGTCAAGTAAGTATCATATCAACTAGAGCCAGAGAAAAACAGATTTTTATTTGTCTTTTTTGATAGCTTTTGAGTGTTTTGTTTTGAGCAAGACTTGTCCCTGGTATCCTTAGGACCTGATAGGGTTCCATGTAGATAAGGCTGGACTGAAAGAAACTCTTTACAGACAAGGCTCTTTAATTCCTGATCCCCCTGCTTCCAATTACTAAATGCTATAAGTACAGGTATGTGTTCATTATGCCTAGCTGACAGTTTTTCAACCCTAACAACTCTGGGTGCTAGAGAGCAAAAGTATGTTGTACAGACCTCATTTCACCATATTGCAACTGTGTAAAATACTTGTTAAGCACGGTTCAAAATAAGCACGCAACAAATATTAACCATTATTGTTTAAGATAGATTATGTAGCACAGATAGGATTTCAACAGGTGGAAAAGGGAGAGAAGGCATTTTAAGTACAGAAAACACGAACAACTGCTTGATGGCAAGAAACTCAGATCATATGAAAAGAACAATACTTGAATTGGATGCTTTAATACAATTAGGAAACAGTTTAAGTTAGATTGGGAGGAAACTGCACAAGACTTAGGATACTTGAGTTTCTGTTTATTTGGCAGATCATTGTACAGCCACTGTCAGTTTCTGAATTAAAGAAAAAGTCAGATTTGTACTTTAGGAAGAATAATTAGGTAAATGTGAATCAGCTGAGCAGTGAACAAATGAAAAGTAGACAGCCCTAAACTTGATGTACTGGCTATGAGCACAGAAAGAAGACAATGTATTTATCAAGTCACACAAACTATGCCTCTTTCTGAATTTGAAGCTGAAGAATTACATAGGATTAGAAAAGAGAAGCATGGGTTTATCTCCTAGGGTTAGGTTACACTTTGAAAGAGGGCACATTTTCATCCTAGCCCTCTATATAGTGCAAATTGGAATCTGTTGTTCAGAATCTTTTTTTTTCCTTTTTTATTTGAATTAGAAACAAGTTTGTTTTACATGGCAATCCCAGTTCCCTCTCCCTCCCCCTCCTCCCCTCCTCTAAACCGACCCCTTCTTCCATCCCCTTTCTGCTCCCCAGGGAGAGTGAGGCCTTCCATGAGGGATCTTCAAAGTCTGACACATAATTTGGAGAAGGACCTAGACCCTTCACCGTGTGTCTAGACTGAGAGTATCTCTCTATGTGGAATGGGCTCCCAAAGTCCATGCGTACACTAGGGATAAATACTGATCCACTACCAGAGACTCCATAGATTGCCCAGGCTTCTTAAATGCATGGTATTCTCAATATTTCCATTCTGCATCAGCACTAACTTGTTTTATACAACAAAGAGATGTTTCTTCCACCCACTTATAGAACCATGAGTAAGCCCAGCGAGAAAATTAAAACTTCCCTGAGTTTCTGTTTTCTTGAAAAATGGGACATAGTTCCCACTTGTTGGAAGAATTAAAAAGTGATAATCTTGTAAAGGACCTAGCCCAATGCAGATGACTAGTAGGCTTTTATGAGTCATATGTTTCTTTTACAACACTTAACTTCACCTTTAAACATCTGCCTCATCTCTGACAACACTTGTAGAGGAAAAGTCTTCACTGTTCTCTGAAAGAACCCATTATCTGTCTGGGAGGAAATCCTTGATTGTTGAAAGTTTTTTTCTTCTGTTCAGCTGCATTTCTTATGTCTCTGACTTGTACTTAGATGTTCTAGTGGTGCTTTTTGGAGCTACTTACGGACACCTCTTTCTCTCTTTTGAAAGTTCAGAGATCTGAAGATTAGAGACCAAATTTCCTTCCATCTTCTGTTCCCTGGTAAATCAGCTGGGTTTCTTCCATTTATTATGTGGCATGCTATTAGTTAAAATATGAGTCTGAGGTTTTGAATTATATAAAATAGAGTGGTAACACCTCAAAAAAGATGGCAATAACTGCAAAAGAAACATGATGGGAGAATGTGGCAAACTTCTTTATAATGTATTATTCCTTTCAATTCTTTAATTGCACCATTTCTTCACTAGAGAATGCTCAGGGAACCTGGAGAACATTTGGTCTCTGTCTGTGTGAGCCATAACTGCAACCCACAGTTTTTTTTAATTCCCTTTCCTTCATTTTCTACAGCTACTTTGTATATAAGATGATGGCTATATAGGTTAAGTCTCCAATTAGAGCAGAAGAGAGAAAATAATCTTTCAATTGCCTTGTAACAGTTACTGTATCTTTGAAATTTTTCAGTAAGAGAAACCAGGGAGGAAAAAGCCCCTAGACCCAAAAGAAAAGCAAATGATACTTCGGCCTAGAAAGCTAAGGCAGGCCGCAGAGCCTTCCTTTAGTTAGATGTCTTTTTGATCTGTTCCACCTGAATGCCTTCTGCAGGGAGTAAAGCATAAGTCATTATTCAGAGCTGAAGCTTTTGAAGCAGAAGTTATTTTTTCTCTGCTTCCTTTAGGAGATTATCCCTACCCATATATTCTCCCATAAGTTGCTTACTGGGAAGAGCACTGGCTAGTTTTATCATCAATTTATATACTAAAAGGACCATTATTATTAGATACTTTTGAGAGATGTGAGGATGGTTCTAGTCTGTCTTTTATTAGCACTAACTTATTAGCACTAACTATATTTTTTCAGTGTTTCTCTGTACATGCTGTCTTACACATAATTAGCCTTCTTTATTCTGGTTCTATTTTCTTTTTTGTTACTAAGTCCCAAAAGAATGACGAGTGTAGAAACAATTATCAACTGAATTTGTAGTAAATAACTATTCATTCTAGATGATTTACAGATATTCTATATGGATCCATAAAAAATAGCAACCAATTCTGAAAAGTAAAGTTGTTTCCATGTAATGTATGATGGAATCAAACAGTAAGATGTCATTATTACCAGGAGGCTGTTAGTCACTAATGTGAATAAGCCAAAAAGAGTGGGCAGTACTACTTCCCTTCCATGACCCACTCTACCCTTTGGCATTTTTTTGAGAGTTTTCACAGCCAAGAAGTGTGTGAAGCTGTGAAGAAAAAAAGGGTAGCAGTCAGTCATGAAAATGCCCTGCCTTTTTGTGCATGGAAAATAGAGGAGGCACTGGACCCTGAGCAGAAACTTACACTATAATTTTATCACACTATGTACATTTCAGGAATTTTTTTTCTTGTAGCTCCAGTTTTTCTACTTGAATCATAAAGGTTGAGATCACCTTGATACATTCCTGTTGCATTTCATGCCTATATAGTCCCAATTAGTTTTATGTTACATTGTAAGCAGTTGTCAAAATGAAGAAAAAAAAATAATGAAAACACATTGTCTTGTGAGAACGGAGATGCCTATTATTAAAGGGGTTCAAATAGAGATGGATGGTATTTTCCTCTGAGAATTAAAAAGATGAGGTTAATATGACCTTTTGTGTGGGATTTTCAAAATATGAAATTATTTTTGAAAATTATTTCACAAAGCATAATTATATATGGAATAATAGGTTTATTTTTATCAGATATTATTATAATACCAACCCTTTCAAGTGCAGTACTTTCTTCCTCTTCTTGAGCACTTATTCACATATATTTCTTTTCTTTAAAAATTTTTAGTTACTATACAATACATTGAGTTTCATTGTGACATTTTTATAAATGGATATCAATCTTACTTACTTAATGTTCACCTTTAATTACCCTTCCCATTTTACGGGCATGGGTTTTAAAAGGGGCATGGAATAACTTTGGCAACCATTCTCTATGAATAGACCTCCATCTCTTGCGCCATTTTCCTAGTCTTATTGTGTGGTTTTACCTTGGATTGTATTTCATGTGCCTATTGTTTTATCCCATTGTTTCTGTAGGTATATTTCATCCCCTGACCTTCAGAGGAATAAATGTCATATTTGATTATTGTTGGGTAAAAAGAACTGACAGATTCAGGATGGTACAGTTATTCTAGATTGCTTCATAATCTGAACAGAGTAGAAATAATATGATGAAGACCAAAAAGTAGAAAGGGAAATCAGAAATTAGAACACACATTCTGAGTCATACAGTTCCCAACCATGCACATAAAGAACTCATATCATGATTTCAACTTCTTTCCGGGACATCCTGGCAAATTCTCTTGGGAAGCTAATGAATCTCCACTTCAAGCACTCTCCTGGTAGGTAACTACTTATTGTTCATAGCATAATTTCATACTGTCTTAGGGTGGTCAATACACAAACCAGTGACTTCCTTAGGCTTGGATGACAGTGGAGCAAGTCAGACTTAAATATTGGCTCAACATTGACGTGACTTGAGGCTTGTCTCCAATATCTTTTTTTTCTCTGCTCTGGGTGGGATATCAACAAAAGTCCTAGCAGCTCTTCTCATGTGAAACACAATCTGGAGTTTCCAGAGCACTTTCACATACATTGTCTCATTCTTTCCCTTGAACATAGTCCAAGGTAGTTTCTGTGCCTTCATTTCTACTTGGAATGACTGTTTCAGCGGAAATAAAAAGGATATGTTCCCCTTATAATCAGACTAGAATTGATTGACTTTGTGTATGGGCTTGGCCTTTTCTTCTGCTCAATTTACAGTATTTTTGAGAAGTTTATGTGTTTTTGTGCAGTAGCTATGTGTGCAGGCACACATACTGAAATTTAACTCATATGGTTACTGTTTGTCTTTGCATAAGTAGAAGTAGCCCGGTTTCTTTACTATTAATTCTACCTCTACAGTGACAACTGTCTTGAAAAAGAACTACATACTTCTGCCCACATCATATGGGATATATCCTCTTGCTTTGTGCACTGGAATAAAGGACAAAGAAAGCAGGTCAGTCAGTCTTTAATTGTATACAGTTTGGACTTTTTTCCCCTGAAATTGTTACCATGAATAAATTAAATTCTTAAGCCACTAGGAAAATAGAAAAAGAAGCAAATTAAAAACTATAATAAACACCTATGTCTTCTTAAGTATTTCTATCCCAGGCATATATTTTAGCAAATTAAACCATAAAAGATAATTTGCTTTTTAAATTTGAGTTATAAGGCTCAAATCCAGTTCATGAGTCGTTCATGACAAGCATGTTTACCTACCCACTAAGCTATTTTCCTGGCTATCAATTTACTATTACACAAATCAAAATGAAAATGGCACACCTTAACCTCTTTGTCTATCCCTGAAACAACATCTGGCACTAATGCTCACTTCTTAATTATTAATATTTTATCATGCATTACTGTTACCAGAGTCTAGTTTTCCCCTTTGTTCCCCTTGTGTGTTGATGGCTGCTATTCCCTTTCTAACTTTAAATATATGTGTCACTTAACATCTTGTTTCTGGCATCCTTCTTTAGCCGTCTAAGTCTATCCCACTATTTACCTAGTATAATAATTCTTAACCACCAGACGTTTTACTTTAACTAATCTTGGGTATAGGCATTTCCCAAAACTTCCCCAGTAACCCTTTAAAATTATTATTTAAAGAAAAATCAAGTTAACTTTTTATAAAGTTTTTTTTGTTCACTGACAATATTACAAAAAGAAAAAATAATCAATAGCGGTTATGCACTCACTATTTTTGTAAAACACTGCCATGGAAAACAGGGTGCACTTATGCACTCTAAGCCACCTTTGAGTCTTGATTTTCTTTTTTCTTTTTAAATGAATTTATTCATCTATTTATCTTACATCCAAGCCACAGCGTCCACCATCCACCATCCTCCCTCCCCCCAGCCCCTCTCCCACTTCTCCCTGTCACTCGCCAATCCCCTCCTCATCCATCTCAGTCCACGAAAGGACAGTTCTCCCTTGAATATCAACAAAACATGGCGTATCAAGTTGCAGTAAGACTAAGCACCTTCCCATGTATTAAGGCTGGGCAATGTGACCCAGTATGAGTAATAGGGTCCCAAAAGCCAGGAAAAGAGTTAGAGACAGCCTCTGCTGTAGGAGTTCCACAAGAGGACCAAGCAACACAAATGTAAAATATATTCAGAGTTTGGCTTTTTTTTCTTACCAAGTAAATGAACTTAAGGTAATATTTTCTCTCTGAGACTCATTCTTTTTTTTTTTTTGATAAAATGTGTCTTAGCTCCCTCCTAAGGTTATTGTGAAGGTCAATAGAACTACCTTACAAACTATGAGGTTGTTACTATTATTGTGTAAAATTTCTTTTCTACAATTTGCTCAAATAATAAATACTTATTTAGTGACTACTGTGTGATAGACACTGTTTTAAGTATTTTGGATAGGGTAGTGAATATAATAGGTACAATGATGTCATAGTTATTCCTTTTTACTTGGAAGAAAAATGGGATATATGTCAATAAGAAAACCGTGACGTATATGTACTATGACAAATAATGAAACGAGGGGGTAAGGGGATTAGAGGAATTCCAATTTTAAAATAGTGGCCAGATAGGCCCTATGAAGCAGATGATATAATAATAAAGCAGTGAAGAAGTTGAGAGAACCAGTCAAATGTAAATATTCAGGTGAAGACTCCTGCCTTGAGAAGGTATGAAGGCCTTCCACTGAAAATATTCCTGCTTAATTGGAAGAATAGCAATGAGACCACTGTTACTGCAGTAAACACAGTAAGGGAAAGAATAGTAGAGCCTATGGCTAGAAATACCAGATGAAGTTTATGTAGCCAGATTACATAAGGTCACTGGCCATTAAAAGGACTTCAGATTTCTCAGGAGTAAAAGGAAAAGCTATTGAAAGTTAAAAATAAGGTAATGTAATATGTTTAAAGGATCCATTCCCCTGCCTTCTGCTCCTTTATCTCTCATTCTCCTACAAAAAATAAAATATGGGTGGGTTGCCTGCCTATAGAAGGACAGGAACACTCTTTTATTGATTATGCTTTACATTTAAACAATACAGAAAGACAAAGCTAAAGGAACCCTTAAATCCACACTGTTATTTAGAGTAGTTGTACTTGAGCATCAATGGATAAACTGTGAAAGTTCCAGAAGCTCAGATCATATTTTGATTAATTATATCATAAACTCAAGAGTGGTACTCAGGTATCAACATATTTTGGAACCTCCAGAATATAACTAAGATTGAAGTGGTCTGAAGTGTTTAACCTAATCAGCTTTCTCATGATGACTGTGTAGCTTGAGCCAGCACTAAGTATCACTGTTATTATAGGTGAAATAAATAAATAAATCCACAATTAGTGGGCTAGGAAGAAGTTAAGATGCTTGATAATATAGAAATAGGAAATTGACAAGAGAAAGCTGAGCTAGAAATGGATCTGGGCCAGACCAGAAAAGAGAAAACTGAGAGACGGTGTCTAATCATTTACAACAACATGTGAATTGCAGGTCAAATATTTGGAATTGATGAGGGCACTATCCAGATTAGAAGTCTGATTTCCAAGGAAGGAATTATTCTCAAGGCCAAGTTGAGCAACTGCTTTGACTTTTGATAACCCTGTGCACATGGGTGGTGATTGGGCTTGCATGAGAGGAATGGACAGGGAATGGGCCAGCTGCTATCTTCATCACCCCTTTTTAATTTCAGGACTTCTGTACTGCCCCAGCAAAGCAAATAGACTAAAGTCCTGAGTTCTTAATTTAGACGTGTCATCCTCCAAGTTCTACCCATCCTAGATAGAGACCATGCTTCATGCCACAGGCATTTCTGCAAGTTGAGAAGACCAAATGGTGGTCAGAGGCAGCTGCACACACAGCAGTGTGAGAGTACCTTACACCCAACAGAAACTTAGCCAGCATCATTTATTCAGGGCACTGTGAGCTAATGCTGAGATTGTTATTAATGCCGATGTCACTGCTTTTCTCTTTCCTGTCTGACTGCATTAACACTCTTCTAGGTTATTTTCTGAGAAATCAGGACAATGAGAACACACTCACAGGTTTATGCAGATGACAGAGACAGGACAAGTAAAGAAGCACTAGTCATGTTTTTGTCACTCCAGTCTTACTGGATAAATATATGTATGTACACATAGTTGAGAGCATATTGATATAATAATATGTGTACATACACGTCAATTAGGAAATTCGGGTAAAAAGTTGAATCATTTGGATCAAGAGGGTAGTTCAAGTATTTAATTTGAAAAATGAAGGTCATCTATTTTCAAACAACTGAAGCATAATTCACATAACACAAAATTTACCATTTTAACGTTTACAAGTATACATATTAATATATGTAATTCCTGGTCATTTTTATTACACATTTCATAGTCCCTGCTCCTCCTCCAAGAGCATAGCAAATATTAAATCTACTTTTTGTCTCTGTGGATTGTCTGTTTCTGATATCTTGAAAATGAAGTCACATTATTGCCCCTTTATGTCTAGCTACTTCCCTTAAGCATAATATTTTAAAGACTGATTACACATTATAGCACACATTATGTGTTTCATTCCTTTTTCTAGGTGAATAAATTTTTTATACAGGCATACCAAGTTCTGTTTATCAACCTTGCTTACAAGTTGATGGACATTTGGTTTATTTTAATACTCTGCTATTATGAATATGCTACTAGGAACATCTATGCACCAGGTTATGTGTGAACATGTGTTTTCACCTCTTGTCACATATATTTAGTAATCTATATTTAGTAATAATTTCTGTATCATTGTATCATATGATAACTATGTTTCACATTTTGAAGAACTGATAAATCATTTTCTATAAATGTTGCACTACTTTAGACTGAACAACAGTCTATGAAATCCTTGTTGTTTACATCACTCATGAAAGTTGTTTGTCCACATTTAAGGAAAATATATAGCCACTCTACTGTGTATAAAGAAATATTTAATCAAGTTAATTTGCATTCCTACTGAGCACACATTCATGAGCTTATGTTACTTTGTATTCTTTTTAATTTTGAGTTATAAGTATTCTAATTATATTCTAGGTACAAATATTTTATTACTTATATGGTTTGCAAAATTTAGTTGGTTGGTGGTGATGCGCACCCTTAATCCCAGCGCTTGGAAGGTAGAGGCAGGAAAATCTCTATGAGTTTGAGGCAAGCCTGGGCTTCAGAGTGAGTTTCAGGACAGCCATTTTTATTTTATTAAACTTTCCTTTTATTTATTCTTTGTGTCTTTCACATCATGTATATTGATCCCATTCATTTCCCATCACTTTGTTCATATCTGCACTTTGACCTTCAACCCCCAATAAAAATTAAGACTAAAAAAGGAAAAAAAAACAGAAAAATCTTGTTATGGAAGCTGTATTGTGACACAGTGAGTCACACAGTAAACCCTTCTATCCATGTATCTTTAGGTGCAAGTGTTCATAGCAAAGAGTCATTGGTCTGGTTCAAGGCCTCTGGTTTCTGCTACACTCTCGATGTTAGTCCCTCACTGGAGCGCTTCTTGGACATCCTGCTGTTGCTCTGTGTCATGGAGATCCTGAAGCTTTGGGTCTGTTCACATGCTCCTGCATATCATAGATGGGGTCGATATTGGAGTGAACCAACTAAAAGCCCTGGTTCTTGACCTGAGTAGTTGCAGGGTTGGTCAACCCTCCAGCTCTCCCCTGTCTTTACCACCTGGGTGAGCTCTCCAGCATTTCTCTGGCTAATTCACCCCTTGCAGTGATGAGCAATTGTCGGACCAGTTCTCCTGCTTTCATGCCATAGAATTTGGTTCTCCCATAACTACACCTTAAAGGCCAGCTCTACTGTGTTGTCCAGGCAAGGCGTAGGGACCACTTTCCTGAGTGCTGCTGCTGTTGAGGGGCAGGGACAGCTCTCACTCTTATGATCTCAGTGCCAGATCTCCCACATGCCACAGGAGGTGGGGGCATGCCTCCCATGTCCACAGCATCATATGGTGG